CATTTCTCCTCTTTCTCTCTCCCCCCCCCCCTCTCTCTCTCTCTCTCTCTCCCTCCCCCTCGACCTTGAAAGGGGCGCCAGCGACATCAGCGAGACCGGAGATTAAAACTACGATGATGCGCCCTTTCGTGCCCTCTTCGCCCTCCCCCTCTTTTCCTCTCTTTCTCGCCCCCATTTTTCGCGGGACAAATTAATCGGCTGATATTTTCACCGAGATAACGATGCGAGTTGACGTAAACGCCTAATCTCACGTTGCAGCGCTCGACGGCGATAGTGCATTATTTTCGTTTTCGTGTATGCCGCGCACGCCTCCCGGACGGGGGCCCGATACCCGGTGATGCGCGTGCGCGTGCGCGCCGTTGGCACCGACGCCTGTTTACATGAGGAAGTGCGTCGCGCTTCGGAACGATAAACAAAGTTCGGTAAACTGGCAATAACAGCGCGCGCGCTCGTTCCGCGCCCTCTCGTCCGTTCCATTGTCTAACGTGGGGGATTACGTAACGATGACGCGAGTCCCCTCCGACTCCTTGGGCGCCGCGCGAGGCGGCTCAGGCGAATTCGACGCAGTTCGGGGTCACATTCGTCCCTACCTCCGGCTGCGCGGTTCTAACGATAAAGCGCCGCGGCACGTTCGCTCCAACGACGGCGCGACGTGTCACGGCTGACTAGTCGTCGCCTTCAAAAATCGGCAACTCCGCCGTCGCGTAGGACGAGGGCCTGCGCGCGGCGTCGTATCGTTCAACACGAAGGGACGCGCCCTATCGGCAGGCGATTGCCGCGGCAGTTAATTACGCTCGCTCCTTCGATTTACGCGGAAACGATCCCTCCGTTTGCGCCAAGACCGAAATGGAAATCAGACGGCAAGGAGCGAGAGGCATTGTTAGCACGTTACGATATGCGCTTGACTTTTACGTAATTTTTCGTCGAGTTAATTACGCCGGGTCCTCGACTTACGCGGGAAAGGTTCCTCCGTTTGCGCGAGGACTGACATGGAAGTCAAACGGGAAAGAATGAGAGACACTATTAGTACATCAGGATACACGAAGTGCTCTTTCATTCAACGCGTTTGTTCTTCTTTTACTGGCAGACTCTACGCGAGGAAGAAATCCACGTCGAGAAACGAGTGTATCCGCGACTGTTGAGAATCCGCGCGTTGGTCGCCTTCCTGGAGATCGCAGGTGTAACCGCGGCGGTAGAGGCGCGCGCGCGCGCTCGAGAAGGAGAGAAACGGAAGACGGAAAAGCGAGGAGAAAGGGCGTCCCGGGTTATTGAATCACGCGACGGCGATCGCGTAATAATGCGCGTTGAAATTGGCGCGGTGCCGATCCTGCCTCACTGGCAACAAGTCGCCGCGGCATCGTCCGGATCGGAATCCGCGCGCGTGTCACGCGTGTACGCGCGTTACGTGCGCGACAGAAAAAGAGAGGGAGAGAGAGAGAGAGAGAGAGAGAGAGAGAGAGAGAGAGAGAGAGAGAGAGAGAAAAAGGGAGGGCGAGAAAGCGCCCGAGTGCCGAGGTAACCGTGGAATTAATATACGAATTAAACGCCCCGCGCCTACATTCGCGTCGTACCGAGAAAGAGGCCCGGGACCAACACATGCGCGCTACAACGCATTCACGTGCGCGTCGCTCCGCGCTCCGCCGTCTTCTCGCCTCCTCCCCGCGCTCGCTCGCTCGTTTCTATGCGCGAGTCCCTCCCCCCCCCCCCATACCCGCCGCGGCGTACGTGACCGGAGAACGGCCCTGCGCGCGCATCCCGCGCGCCGCCGAAAGCGAGCCGCGGAGCGGAGCGCGACGCGCTCCACCGGCGTCGCTCGTCCGCCGTCCTTGTCCGACAATTTCGGCCCCGCGGTTCCTTCCTCGGCCCGCGTCGAGGGACCGCGGGGCGGGAAAGAGCGGCGGGCACCCTCCTTCGCGCGCCGAGGGAAGAGAGCTCCGATTCTCCGTCCTCTCCCTTTTTTTTTTCCAGGGGTTGGACGGCGCCGCGTACGACGTAGAAAACCGCTCCCGTGTTATTACGCGCAAAATGGCGGAGCCGGCGAGCGTGAGCGGGGCCCAGCGGCTCTCACTCGCCGCGCCCGCGCGAGACGATTCGAGAACGCGCCCCGGCCTCGCGACGTAGAAGCGCGGACGAGCTCTCGAAGCGTCGTCGGGCAGATTCGAAGGCGCCCCTCCCTCCCGCTACGCGGAATTCTATCTCAACTTCTTAACGCGTTCTCCGGTACTCGTCCCCGTCCGCACGTCCGGACGAACGTCGTCGAGGCGACAGGGAGGGAAAAAAAAAACGAACGACGCGCGGAAACAGTCGCGAACGCGGGGCCGCGAGGGATCGCGCTCGATGCCATCGCGGCTCGCGTTTGCGTCATCATCCTCGCTCTGGGCCGGGAGTCGGGGGTCGCGGGAGCCGTTGTCTGAGAACCACGTTGCCTACGTGACTCGCAGGGCGTCGACGGAGCCTCGTGATTCGCCGGCCGACGGTGGCGCGAGAGGTGCCCCCGCGCAGAGTCGGCCGCGGCGCCGCTCGTGGGCGCGGGGCGGTCGCGGCGAGGCGGGCCGCCGAGTGTTAGTAAGCAGGGGCGGCCATCTTGTCGAGCTCAGTCGGAAACCAACTGCCGAGCAGTGAGGGACGGTGATGTGGAAGAGAGGCCAGATGTGTTAGACGAAGGGTTTTTAATGCGCTTCCGAGCCCGATTGCCGCTACGTGCGAGAGGCTGTGCGATAGCGACGACGGAGCCACGACGACCATCGCGGGGCTTTCGCGTGCGAAAAGGCCCGGTGCATCCGGTTAAAAACCTTCAGCTGGGTGGCAGCTGCGGAGGAGCGGGGCGAGGAAGCGGAGGAGGCGGCGGAGAAGGAGGAGGAGGAGGTGGTGGCAGCAGCGGCGGTAGCAGCCGCAGCAGCAGCGAAGAGCAGGTCGCGGAGAAGGTTCTGGCGAGAGGCTGACAGCGAGAGCTTTAGCTTCTCAACGGCGGAAGGGCTTGGCTGCTCGGTTGCGAGAGAAGGAAGACACACCGGCGAATAAGATCGACGCCGAGGGCGAGAAAGGGAGAGAGAGAGAGAGAGATAGAGAGGGGGGAGCGAGTGAGAGCGGAGGATGACCGACCGAGAGAAAGTGCAGTGTCAAAGTCTGTGATAGTATTTATTCAAAAAACAACATCGTTATCAGCAGCACCTGTGGACGTGTCATCTTCGCGAGAAAGGAGGACGAGCGACTGCGCGGAAGCGAGATATACATACATATATACATATATATATATATATATATAGAGAGAGGGAGAGAGCGAGAGGGTGAAAGGGAGAGAGAGAGAGAGAGAGAGAGAGAGAGAGAAAGGGATAGGCTTTATATATTTATTTACATCTGTGATATCGACGCTGATATACATCGACCTTCTTCGCGAGAAAAAGGAGACGAAGAGGAGCGAGAGAGAGAGGGCGAGAGAGGCGAGTGACGTGAGACCCAGAGAGAGAAAGAGGGAGAGAGAAACGTCGCTCGAAGAAAGATTATATCAGTATCTTAGTGGATAGGGTTTTTTGTATATACGACTGACTCTTTTTTATAATTATTGCTATCGGCGCGAGTTGCGGGAGGCGCAGGACTGGTCTCACCCGAGGCCGGCGGTGTGAAACCGGAAGATACTTCTCCGATCTTTCCCCGGACGATCGTTCGCGCGGGCGGCGAGAGTACGCGAGAGGTAGCCATGGTGGAGAAGATTCTGGAGGAGCGAGAGGACGGCACTCAGGAGGCCGGGCGAGGTGAGTTGAATAAAAAGGAAAAAAAAACCCCCGTCCAGTTGCGTGCAGCGCGAGAGAGATTGATCGGAGCCCACGATCTAGCATTGCCCGTCGAGGGTTCGCGAGGAGCCGCACTTTTCCGGCTCCCCGCCGGCGACTCCGCCGGGAAAAAGGATCCGTCGGGGTGGAACCGCCCGCTGTAGAGTCGCGGTCGCGCGTCTACGTTTGTTTTGCGAGCCGGCGGCGGCCATTTTCGCCGGTCGATGTGTAACGACCCGGTGACGGGCGCCGGGGCGAACGCTCTTTACACGATTTCGCGTTTTCACCGCGTTGTCGCGGGGCGGGAGGGAGGGAGTTTTTCACGCTCCAGTCGCCGACGGGAGGACGGAAGCCGCGCGCCGGACGGACGCGCACGCGATTACGCTCCCCGTCGCGGAAACCCGCGTCGCGAATACGAATCGCCGCCGCGGAAGGAGCGCGAGAGAGAAAGAGAGAGAAAGCTTTCTAGAAGCCGGCACCCGCCGGCGACCAAGGCGACTCGCTCGGTGGCCACGATTTCTTCCCGACGGAAACAGATGGACGACAATTCTCGAGGAACATGAAGAATTATTTGGCGCCGGCACATGACTAACGATAATTAAGCTTTCAATCGTCCATAACTGGCAACGTGTTTTCGACGCAAAAATTCATTGTGCAAAATATTACCTTGGCCAGGGTTTGAACCTCCCTACTCTCTAGGCAGGCGTCTCTTTAATTTAATTCTCAACGAATTTAACGCGCCCGTCCGGCAACTCGGACGAGGAGGTGGTCGATTCTGTATCTTGCGTTATAGCGAAGATGCTAAAAGTGAGTAGTTTCGTCTCTTTCTAGCCGTCCCCCCTAGAAAAAGACAAAGCCACTCGTAGCATTTTCGGCTGTATTGTAAAGCCAACGGCACACGATACAATTTTTCTTACTGGCCTGCTTACGAGAACCAATAAGGACGCGGAGTTTTAGATCAGGCGACTTAAAGCTAAATCCTGATTGGCTCATGTAAGTAATCCAGTAGAAAAAAATAGTATCGTGCACCGTTGGTTTGAGACACAGAATTGGATATATTTGAGCATACGTCTTTGTGGTTTTCTTAATTTAATTTCAGCTTAAACATATGTTATCAGTATTGTGTGCTTTGAGAACGTCAATTCTGTGTCTTACAACGCAGCGAAAATGCTCGAAGCGAGCGGCTCTGTTTCCAAGGGGACAGTTAGAAAGGGACAGAGACTACTTACTCTCAGCATTTTCACTGTAGTGTAAGATACAGAATTTACCCCAGTGTTTTACGCTCCAAGCCTTTGTCCGCGAAGTTGTCGCGACGTCGCTGACGAATTGTCAAGTTTTCTCGATTCTCGATTAAGAAACGTCTTTGTATTTAGCTTGCCTTCGATTTGTGTGATTAAAGTGTTTTTACAGAAGTGACCCCGAGGTCCCGAGTCGCGGATCGCGAGTCGGACGTGGAAACGCGCAGACGAGCCTCGGTTCGAACGCTCGTCGACGAGGAAACCCGTCGCGATGCGTCACCGCGCTTGTCCTCGCCGTCGATCGAGATTCCACGCGTCTCTCGGCGCAGCTGACAACAAGAGCGATACACCTTCGCCGGGCTCGCTCGTCGTTTACGTTCGCTTTCCCGTGAATTCTCCCCCGGTCGGCCAGCCGTCGGGAGAGAGCCGGCCGGTAATCGCACCGCGAGCACCGGGTCTCCTCGCGATGTCTAAAAGCGGAAAAATACGCGGGGCTGGCGCCACGTCCGAATTATGCAACCCCAGCCCTCCCCGTCCCTCCCCCCCCCCCCTCGCGTCGAGCGGCGTAATAAGGTGAAACGGACGCGCGGTTAGCGTCCGAAATAACAGGATGACGAAACAAACGCGTTTCGCATAATCATCTCCCGGCTCGATGATCCTCGACTCGTCCGTGCTCCTCGTTCATTGACGCAGCTCATCGGCGTGCGCGCGCGCGCGCGCGTGTGCGTGTAAAATTGCAATCGTTGCCTCCGCGACCTCTCCTTACCCAAGCGAAAAAGGACGAGCGGAAATCGGAGCGAGGTGCGAATACGAGACCGAGCGAGACTCGGCATTTTCGCCCGCGTCCGCCAAGTCCCGTTTCGCTGCGTTCGCGCGGATCGAATCTCGCTGAATCTAATCCCGTTCGACGCGACGATCTCGCGCCAATGTCCCCGCGAACTCGCCGCGGGACGGTATTTTCGGGGCGGGAGGGACTCGGCGCGCGAAGCGCATATTTTGCAACGTCGCTTCCGAGCGGCGTCGAGCGTCGCGTCGCCTCGCCTCGCTGGCACGACGGATTATTTTTCGGGAGGAGGATAGAGCGGTGGCGCAGGGCAGGGGAGGGGAAGAGGGGGAACAAGTGGGTTAGTCGGTATATGAGGTTTCGAAAGGGGGTTTCGGGCGCTCTCGGCGGCTCGCGGCGCGAAGGGAGAGCGCGCCAGTCGGTTATAGGGCGACCCAAACAAAGAACGAAGGGTGGAAGGGTCCCGGAGCCGCGCATGTCAACTCGCCGCGCGCTTAAAGGGAGACGCGTACGATACGCGGAACAAAAGAGAGTTCGGCGTTGTATAAACGGACGAGTGCGCACGGCCGTTTACTCGTTCGATCGCCCGGTCGGAGCGAGCGAGGGAGAGGAGAGGAGAGGAGAGGAGAGAGTTTTGATGTTCGGCCGCGGGTTGAGAGAACCGCCGGGACCGACGCGTTATCCCGGAGCGAAACGACGAGGGACAAAGCGACGCGGCGCCCAAATATACACCCGATGACTGCGCGGGCAGAAGCGCGACAAGTGTAACTGCGATTTCACGAGTTTACCGCGCGAGACCTCTTTCTTTCTTTTTACATGCTTTCCCGCTCGCTGTTTAAATTGTTTTTTTTTTCGTATTGTTCTTAAGCCTCGTGTCCACGGTTCAAAAACTGCGTCCGAGTCCTAGCTCCGAGAAACGTGTAGCCAATCAGCCTGCATCTTTGACGGAAAAGCTGAAAAGCTAGAACTCGGACGCAGCTCTTGGACCAAGTTCCAGCTTTAGGGAATAAGTAATGATCCTGATTCTCCCTTGCGAACGATCGCAGATAGATCGCGGGCTAGAGATGGGCCGAGCGTAGCCGGCGGGACGGAGATCGCTCCGCGTAACACATGTGCAGCCTGACGTAACGATAAGAACTGGAAAAATGGGAGTCGCGCTCCGGCGAGTCGCGTGATCGCTCCCCTTTCCGCCTGACCCTTTAATTAGGCGACGAGCGTAGCCCGCGTACCGTCGCTTTAATTGCTCACGCGACCGTTAACGGCGACGACGCCGTACGCGACTCGCCTTCCTCCCGAAATCTCGTCCGGTCGACCGAGGAGACCGGGCCCTATCACGGCTCGGTGCCGCGGACAAAGCTCCCTCGAAATAATTAAAGTAAACAGTAGCTGTTTCCTATCGCCGACCTGTTTGCTCAGGACGGCCCAGTTTTCGGAAGCGGCACGTGTGCCTATTTACTTTCAATCTGATAAGTCGGGTCTCTTTGATTTTCATCCGCGAGGGCCTGCATTTGTTGGCGTCGCGCGCCGACGTCTTCTCGACTTGTTCTCCTTTAATTCTTTGCCTCCTGTCTTCCGATCGGGAGACAATTCGCCCATAAACTTGAGCGTGGGGTACGACTTTCGTCTAGAGGCTAGTCTACAATGTGTTCCTTGAAACGTTCTCTTTTGTGGCCAAGAAATACCTTTAAAAAAACTCGGGCAAGTTGATAAATTGTACATTATACATTGTACAATCGTAAATTGTCGACTAAGTTTTTAAGCGTTTTGATTCGCTTATACACTGATAGAATAATATGTAGTATTTGAAACTATAATTGCACAGTAAAATAATTATAGTTATTATTATTTTTATAGTAATTATTACTATGGTATTAGTGATAGCAACCATAGAGACACAGTGATGCCAACTATTTAAAAAATTTACTATAAAATATAAGCTTTAGAAATATAATAAACTATAATTAGAACTATACCTAATACATTGTTGGGTCAACCATAACTTACGTAGTTTGAAGAATCATAAAAATGTGATTGGCTCCTAAAATGACTATAAATTATAGTGAGATTGCGATAACTGCAACCATTTTTTTTTCTGTCGGTGTATAAAATAGAATGTTTCCAGACGCAAAGAGCACATTGTAGATTAGCTTTAAGCGTTTCGTAAAACCAAGTACGTCTCCTCCGTTTCCTCGTTCGGGTGATTCGACGTCTTCTCGACGACTTACGTAAGGGAATCACCCCCGTGATGATTTGCGCGTAATCAGCAGCGCGTGCGCGCGCGCGCGCAGTTAGAACACTATCGTGCACGCATATCTCGCGTAAGATGGCGGCGTTCCTTTTCTGTGCCAGTCATTGAACTCTCGTAGTGTCGGTCGTCGTGCGGCGTCGGCGGCGACCGGCGCGAGGCACGAAAATACATTTCGCCGCGCCGCCGAAATTATGATATCGCGCGTGAAAATACCTGACACCCGACACAAGGGTTGGTTGAAAAGGCGCCGATTTTCCGGCGAGAAAAAGGATAAGGTTAAACAAATGAGATGCGTTGAAATCATGTTTCTTTGAGTCTACTAAATTTTTATTTACTTGTACTAAGACATTTGCTGGATCTGAAGATATGAATTGTCTTAGAAATCTCAGTCTTAATCAAATAAAGAAACAATTTCTTTGAAATGAAATGAACAGTCTATAGTAAGGTCAAAATTGCAACAAGACTTTTTTGATTTCAAAGAAACTTTTCTGGGTGTGGCGATGTTCAAAGGTTCGGTTGCTTTTTCCAATTTTTTGGGGGAATAATCGCTAACTAAACCTCTTGCCTAGCCATTGTCTTCGCGCGACGACAGGCGCTCGAGTGACGCTCCGGGTCTCTTAGAATTCTTAGAAACGCGACGATTAACAACGACTCGCCTCCCCGGATGCCCCCCCTCTCCCCGGCGCGATGAAGCGACTCCTCGTCTTGTCGCCGTGCCGTGTCCGAGCCCTGGCTTGAAAACTATATTTGTCATCGATTAAAACGCAGTCATCCGGTCGCGCGAGTTAATTATAACTCGCGTGCACCCACAATCGAGTCGCCTCGAGCGACTCGAGAGCCGGTATCCTCGTGGCTCCAATTCGACCGCGCGTCTCTCCTCGTTGTCGCGCCTCGACTCGATTCCTCGCGGAAAACCTCGACAGTTCTCCAGTCGTCACGGTCGTCCGAGACAATGAGGGAGAGAGAGAGAGAGAGAGAGAAAGAGATGAGTCGACTGCGGCCCACAGTCGCGCCAGCACTCGTTCCCGATCCGGCTCTGATTTCTCCTCGACCCACGCCAACGACCCGCGAGCATGGTGTCCGTCCGTTCACGAAGGAGTGCCGTGGAGTCTGTTCGCTCGCCCGCGCCGCCACTTTGTCGCTCATCGGCCGCGCACTGTGTATCGTCGCCCACGCGCGCCCGCGCGCGTCTCTTCCGCGTCGCCCGGAAGACACGTTTACCGGCGCGATTTCGCCACCGTGTCGTCCCGACCCGTCGCGTACATCGTCGCGCTCGAAAAGGCCGATTGAGATTCCTCGGGAGGTGACTCGGCCGCGCTCGACTGACTCTCGGGACTCTTCGCGGTCGAAACTTTTCCCCGCGAACGAGCGGAGATCGAGTATTCTCGTTCTCAGCCTCGGCCAGTCGGCTGGTCTAACGTGAATCGAGGAGTCTTTGTTGCTTGACGGAATTTATGGAGATCCTGAAAGTACAGTTTGCCGTTTATAATTGCGCACAGATTTCAATGCGTTTGAAGAATTATGCGTTGTTCCTTCGCAACCGGCTCACCCCTTGTACACGGAAAAAGTAGCGTACAACCGTTATTATCTGGGGGCCGATTTCTGGAACTTAGGAAAATTACAAAATTGAGTGAATACTAGAATATTTATAATTTCAACCTGCGAATTCGCTCACTTTTGTAATTTTCATAAGTTTCAGAGATACAAAATCCACCTCCTCATCTCTCTCTCTCTCACGAACTCTCACAAATGCCTCATGCATATGACAACCATGTGACACGCACGAATGCGAATCGAGTTTTCCGTTGACTGCGCTCCCCGTGATTCTTTTCGGAACGACTAACAATTAAACCTATCACACAATGCCAGGCAATAGGAATAGGGAATAGGATTTTTGACGCGTTGGATTCGTCGGAAATTTTCTCCCAACCAATCCAACGCGTCAGAAATTCTATTCCCTGTTCCTGTTGCCTGGCATTGTGTGATAGACTTAAGTCTCAAAGACATCGGCTTACTCTGATTACGAGAGTTCGGTGTCCTTATACAGACTCCACCTTGGACTCCACGATACAAACTAAACGAAGAAACTTGCGCTCCAAAGAATACCGAGATTCGAGTAAGCGCAATTAATATCGGCGCGATTTATCTCGATGAAAGCCTCGAGCTCGGTCGCGAGGCTATCTCGCTTCGACGAGGCGGTCGCGGAAACGATATGTAGCGTGACCCCGGGCCGGGCGATACACATCTCGCGTAAATATCTGCCCGCCGCCGTGTATCTCCGTTAACACGCGGATCGTGAATCGCGTACCGGTTACCGGTGAGCGCCGCGCTCTGCGCCTTCGCCTCCGCGCGCGAGTGAACTTTCCCAGCGGAGAGAGAAACGGAGAGGGAAACGCCGAACCGGCGACGAGCCGGCACACGATCCACGCGACGGCGCCGACGTATATCGGCGACCGACGCGGTCCCATTTTTAGCGGCTGAATTAGAAAGTGCGAGGACAGAGAGAACCTACCTGTCTACGCGGCCTGTACAAAATCGAGCCGCCCGGTCGTTACGGCCGCGAGGCGCCGACGTTAGGCGCTTCAGGCCGGGTTTCACCTCCGAGAAATTTTTCTTCTCGGAACGCGCGATCGGCTGACTCGCGCGCGACTCTCCGCTAGGCCCGGTTTTCCCAACGTCGCTTAACTTTAAACCTCATTGTCAGTTTAACGCATTCTTTCTCTCCTTCTGAGGTAACAGTTGGAAAGAGACAAAGGACGAATTAGTCTAATTAAGACCGAGATCAAAGTCAAACGACGTTGGAAAAGTCGAGTCTCATGCCCGTTTTCACCAATGTCGTTTCACTTTGCTCTTAGTCTAATTCGTCCTTAGTTTCTTCCCAACTGGTAAGCCTAATCTACGATGTACTATCTGTGTCTAGAAGCATTCTATTTTGTAGCCAATAAATACGTTAAAAACAATTGTTAAGCGTTTCGATCGGTTTATATAAAATCGAATGTTTCTAGACGCAGAGAGCACATTGTAGATTAGGCTTTACCTTGGAAAGAGGCAAAGAAGAATTAAACTAACGATAAGATCGAAGTTAACCGATGCTGCTGAGTCCGGTCCGACTCTCACGGCCGCTCGGAGTATTCCGGGACGTACGTACACGTGTCCGAAACGCGCGGCGGAGAAACTACAGAGGCTTCGAGAACGCTACACCATTGTTGCGCTCGCGAAGGGAGGAAGCGTGTGCACGAGGGGAATTATTCCCATCTTCATTTACCCCCGGCTAAATCGATCGCGCGTACGCACTCCCCATCCCTGCCGGGGGTTCTCCGAAGGTTCGGGTCCTCCTCTACAATCGCGCGGCACCCCTGTGGAATCCTGGGACTCGCCCTTCCCTGTCTCGCGTGTTTTATTACATGGAGATGGGGGAGGGGGAGAGGAGAAGTACCGGCCGGGAAGGGGCGACGAAACACGCGGCGATTTTCAATGAAAATGTTTCTCTCCCGCTTGACGGTACCGTCGTTCCGTCGTGACGTGATATGCGCCTCCAGTTTTCACCAGAGATACTCTAGGCAGAGACTAGCCGATTCACCCGAGTCCGCGCCATATTTCCTGACCCAATCAGAAAGAGAACCTACTGTGGCCAGTCTCTATCTAGAGTATCTCTAGTCTTCAACACTTCGAACGATGGAATTCGCTCGAAAACCAAAGATTAAGAACTCTAGAACTCCGGCGACTTAAAGCTCGTGACTTTTAAGGCCTATGTCCACGATG